TGTGTATGGACTCAGCAGTCTGTGTGTGTATGGACTCAGCAGTCTGTATGTGTGTTTGTATATATATGTGTGTGTGTGTGTGTGTGTGTGTGTGTGTATGAGACTCAGCAGTCCGTATGTATCCATAGACTCAGCAGTCTGTGTGTATGGACTCAGCAGTTTGTGTGTGTGTATGGACTCAGCAGTCTGTGTGTGTGTATGGACTCAGCAGTCTGTGTGTGTGTATGCACTCCAGCAGTCTGTGTGTGTGTGTATGGACTCAGCAGTCTGTGTGTGTGTGTGTGGATTCAGCAGTGCATGTGTGTGTATATGGACTCAGCAGTCTGTGTGTGTGTGCATGGACTCAGCAGTGTGTGTGTATGGATTCAGCAGTCTGTCTGTGTGTATGGACTCAGCAGTCTGTGGGTATGGACTCGGCAGTCTGTGTGTATGGACTCGGCAGTCTGTGTGTATGGACTCGGCAGTCTGTGTGTGTGTGTGTGTGTGTATGGACTCAGCAGTCTGTGTGTTTGTGTGTGTATGGACTCAGCAGTCTGTGTGTGTGTATGGACTCAGCAGTCTGTGTGTGTGTATGTGTGTATGGATTCAGCAGTCTGTATGTGTGTATGGACTCAGCAGTCTGTATGTTTGTATGGATTCAGCAGTCTGTATGTGTATGTGTGTATGGACTCAGCAGTGTGTGTGTGTGGATTCAGCAGTCTGTATGTGTGTATGGACTCAGCAGTCTGTATGTGTGTATGGACTCAGCAGTCTGTATGTGTGTATGGACTCAGCAGTCTGTGTGTGTGTATGAATTCAGCAGTCTGTGTGTGTGTATGAATTCAGCAGTCTGTGTGTGTGTATGAATTCAGCAGTATGTGTGTATGGACTCAGCAGTATGTGTGTATGGACTCAGCAGTCTCTAAGTGTGTATGGACTTAGCAGTATGTATGTGTGTATGGACTCAGCAGTGTGTGTGTATGGATTTAGCAGTCTGTATGTGTGTATGAACTCAGCAGTCTGTATGTGTGTATGGACTCAGCAGTCTGTGTGTGTGTGTGTGGACTCAGCAGTCTGTGTGTGTATGGACCCAGCAGTCTGTGTGTGTGTGTGTGTGTGTGGACTCAGCAATCTATGTGTCTGTGTTTGTATGGACTCAGCAGTCTCTGTGTGTGTATGGACTCAGCAGTCTGTGTGTGTGTGTGTGTATGGACTCAGCAGTCTGTGTGTATGTATGGACTCAGCAGTGTGTGTTTGTGTCTGTGTGTGTGTATGGACTCAGCAGTCTCTGTGTGTGTATGGACTCAGCAGTCTATATGTGTGTATGGACTCAGCAGTCTATATGTGTGTATGGACTCAGCACTATGTGTGTATGGACTCAGCAGTCTGTGTGTGTGTGTGTGTGTGTATGTACTCAGCAGTCGGTGTGTGTATGTGTGTGTGTGTGTGTGTTTGGACTCAGCAATCTGTGTGTGTATATGGACTCGGCAGTCTGTGTGTGTGTGTGTGTGTGTTTGGACTCAGCAATCTGTGTGTGTGTGTGTGTGTATGGTCTCAGCAGTCTGTGTTTGTATGGACTCAGCAGTCTGTGTTTGTATGGACTCAGCAGTCTGTGTGTGTGGACTCAGCAGTCTGTGTGTGTGTATGTACTCGGCAGTCTGTGTGTGTGTTTGGACTCAGCAGTCTGTGTGTGTGTGTGTGTGTGTATGGACTCAGCCGTCTGTGTTTGTATGGACTCAGCCATCTGTGTTTGTATGGACTCAGCAGTCTGTGTGTGTGTAAGGACTCAGCAGTCTGTGTGTGTGTGTGTATGAACTCAGCAGTCTGTGTGTATGGACTCAGCTGTCTGTGTGTGTGTGTGTGTGTGTGGACTCAGCAGTATATGTGTCTGTGTTTGTATGGACTCATCAGACTGTGTGTCTATGTGTGTGTGTGTGTATGGACTCTGCAGTCTGTGTGACTATGTGTGTGTGTATGGACTCAGCAGTCTGTGTGTCTGTGTGTGTGTGTATGGACTCAGCTTGGTCCTGTGTGTCTGTGTCTGTGTGTGTGGACTCAGCAGTATGTGTGTGTATATGGACTCAGCAGTCTGTGTGTGTGTGTGTGTGTGTATGGACTCAGCAGTCTGTGTGTGTGTATGGACTCAGCAGTCTGTGTGTGTGGGACTCAGCAGACTCTGTTTGTGTAAGGACTCAGCAGTGTGTGTGTGTGTGTATGGACTCAGCAGTGTGTGTGTATGGATTCAGCAGTCTGTATGTGTGTATGGACTCAGCAGTCTGTGTGTGTGTATGGACTCAGCAGTCTGTGTGTGTATGGACTCAGCAGTCTGTCTGTGTGTATGGACTCAGCAGTCTGTCTGTGTGTATGGAATCAGCAGTCTGTCTGTGTGGATGGACTCAGCAGTCTGTATGTGTGTGTGGACTCAGCAGTGTGTGTGTATGGATTCAGCAATCTGTGTGTGTGTGTGTGTGTGTGTGGACTCAGCAGTGTGTGTGTATGGATTCACCAGTCTGTGTGGGTGTATGGATTCAGCAGCCTGTGTGGGTGTATGGACTCAGCAGCCTGTATGTGTGTATGGACTGTATCAAGGGAAATGTGTTTGTTTTTTAATAATCCCTGGTGGAAATTAATGAATCCTCCACCACTGATTTAAAAAAAAAAAAAAACATTGTGTCGGGGCGGAGCTTAACATGTGTGAGGGGCGGGGTCGGGGTCAAACTGCCGTGAGGGTGGGGCTTAACATGTGTGAGGGGCGGGGTCAAACTGCCGTGAGGGCGGGGTTAAATGTGCCCCCTACATTTGTCCCTGGCCCACCATGTACCCCCCCCCCCCAAAATGAATCCTAGAGACGCCACTGAGGGGGTCATAAATAACAGAAGATGTGCCTGAAAGTTAAAGGTGCAGGTTGGCTGAGAATAGCCAAAAAAGTAAATAAACAGAGGAGTCAATAAGCCAGTTGAAAAGAATAAAACAAAAATAAAACAAACAAACAAACAAGAAAACAGCAGAGCATGCAAGTATAGCTGCATATATATATATATATATATATATATATATATACAGGGCCGCCATCAGAAAATTTGGGGCCCATGACAAAGCACAAGGTCTGGGCCCCCCCACCCTCCTCGCGGGCCCGCCCACGCCCTACCTAGTCCGCTCACAATGATGCAGGACTGAATGTGGTGTGTGTATAGTGGAAGTGAATTAGAATGTGTGTAATGGATGTAGTGTTTGTGTGTATTAGATACTGTTTGTGCAATGAATGCAGAGTGTGTGTTTGTGTGGCGGATGCAGTGTGTATAGTGAACGCAGAGTGTTTTTGAGTAGTGGATGTAGTGTGTGTACAGTGATGTAGTGTGTGTTTGTGTAGTGGATGTAGTGTTTGTATGTACTAGATGAAATGTGTTTAGTGGATGCAGTGTCTGTAGTGTGTGTATTAGACGCAGTGTCTGTGTATAGTGAATGCAGAGTGTTTCAATTTGTGGTGGATGTAGTGTGTGTACTGTGAATACAGGATGTTTGTGTAGTGGATGCTGTGTGTTCAGTTAATGCAGAGTGTATGTTAGTGTAGTGAATGCAGAGTGTGTGTCAGTATAGTGAATCCAGAGTGTGTGCATAGTTTAGTGAATGCAGAGTGTGTGTTAGTGTGTAATGAATGCAGAGTGTGTGTTAGTGTGTAATGAATGCAGAGTGTATGTTAGTGTGTAGTGAATGCAGAGTGCGTCAGTGTAATGAATGTAGTGTGTGTGTTAGTGCAGTGAATGCATAGTGTGTGTAAATTTGTAGTGAATGCAGAGAGTGTGTTGGTATGTAGCGGATGCAGAGTGTGTGTTAGTGTAGTGAATGCAGTGTTAATGTGTAGTGAATGCAGAGAGTGTGTTAGTGTGTAGCGGATGCAGAGTGTGTGTTAGTGTAGCGGATGCAGTGTGTGTTGCGTTAGTGTATGCAGTGTGTGTTAGTGTATGCAGTGTGTGTTAGTGTATGCAGTGTGTGTGTGTTAGTGTATGCAGTGTGTGTGTTAATGTATGCAGTGTGTGTTGTGTTAGTGTATGCAGTGTGTGTATGTGTGTGTCAGTGTATGCAGTGTGTGTGTGTTGTGTTAGTGTATGCAGTGTGTGTGTGTT